GGAGTGTGTTAGTGAATATTACTTCAATTTTCATGGAATTATCAAAACCATTATTATTGTTACGTACCCTTTTAAGTTTTGTTCCTTGTCAGCTAATTTTTGTCTGAATTTTGTTAGAAGTTTTTTCTCTTATAAGTATTGAGATTTCAATTACATTATATAAGCTGTAATAAAAGTGTAAAAATCAAATGCCAAAGACTAGGACCTGTGGAGGGTGTTAAAGAATATTGTTTCAATTTTCAAGGAATTATCAAAACCATTAATCCTGTTACGTACAAATTTAAATTTTGTTTCTTAGCAGCCAAAGTAAAATTTTCAAAAAAGCTTGCACCCAGTTTTATTCTTTTATTACATTGTTTGTGGTAGACAGCAGTGGAAAGAATTCTGAGAATAAGTTCTTGACGACAAGTTCTTGTTGTTGCATGTACAGCCCTTGAAGTATGCCAGGAAAATATTTCATAGGAGCGTACAAGTTAACCAGCCCGCCATCGTAATAATTGGGAAATATGCTTTGCATGTTGCCCTTGCAGAAATTACGCACTTCAGACGTATTAAATATTTTTCTGAGAGCTCTCAGTCGCTTAGCTAATATTTCTAAATAAAGTTTATTCAATTTTGAAACATTTGTATATTTTTAGACCTGAAGACTTCCTTTTCTACATCATGCTGCAATTCAGTTTCCAACGTTCTATTTTTGTGTAACAATTATTGTAGAACAATGAAAACTTATTTTTAGGCCAAATTTGTCTTCTTCTTTCTTATTACCTTTTTCATTTCATATACATATAAATATGCAATTTTATTAAAATATCAATATATATCAGTTAGCTGTTAATAAACATTTGTACTTGAAAACACTTGGTAGTGAATTTTTAAATTGCGACGTTTTGATAAATTGTTGTTGTAGAATTAAAAATCACGTTTAGAATATTTACGAATTGCGGAATAAAAGAAATCAACAAATCTTTGCAAATAATTTCCTAGTCAATGAATGAAAAAACACCAAAAAACGATCAAAACGGATGAAAAACACCAAAAAAACCACCAAAATTCAAATGAAAAAACACCAAAAAAAAACGAATGAAAAACCACTAAAAAACGACCAGAAACGACCAAAAATCGAATGAGAAAAACACCAAAAAACGCATGAAAAAACATCAAAAAAAGATCAAAATCGAATGAGAAACACTAAAAAACGACCAAAAAATCGAATTAAGGTATTTTTTAAAAATTTCTTGAACTTTAGAGAAAATTACTCATTATCTGTAATATGTGTTATTGATCGTTTCGTATTCCTAGACATCCATACCCTGTAAGTTCATTAGGCATTTAAGTGTAATAACTCATTTGCCTCATTGGAAAGAAACATTATATCTATTGCAACGATTGATTCACTACCACTTGTTTTTTTATATTCTCCTTTTTCTATATAACACACATATAAGTCTATGTTTTTGTGCTTTTGCTGTCACCATATACACAGTCATCTGTTTTCAGGTAAGGAAACATCTGAGAATATTATAAACTTGCTATTAAAATTCTAAAAACAAAAAGAAGAAAGAGGTGCATGATGTCTTTAAAGCAAGCCACATTACATGCTCAATGCTAAATATGAGATTTTGCCGAAAACAATCAAAACTGCACTATGCTGTCCACCACTAGGCTAAAAGATTAAAATTCCCATTGGAGGGATCATAATCTGCAGTCATGCTACTGAAAAACCATCTGGGAGAATGCTATACATATGCCTGGGTTGAACAATAAATATTTTTTGTTGACATCATGGGTTGCCACGTAAATGCTTCTTGGCGACATGGTGCGTTGCTTCATCAATATATTCTCGTGGCTTATGGGTGGAGGTGCACGAAAAAAAATCAACTGGCAAAATATTAGGTACTGTTCTATTATCGGGACCGGACTAACAAATGTATGCATGTACACATATATGCGTATGTGTATACACATACATTCGTACTTACATATATGAACACATACATCCATATATACATGCATACATATCTACATTTCTGATAACGGAACAGGTCCTGATAACGGAACAATGCCAAATATTATACAGAAGTAGATAAATTATGTGTTTACTAGACAATGCAGTGCCTATTAAAATAACACCCTTATCAATCAGTTAAATATCCTTTACATACTTCAACACAGCCTCTTTCTGCTCAAACATTTATGGATTTAGAAATTTCCTGTGAGAAGACATCAGTAAATTTTCAAGTCCAAGTGTAATGTAGAGTTTTATGAAATTAACTAAAACATACCTAATACAGAGTAATGACACATTTCTATATTTTAAAAAGAAATTAAAAGACACTCATAATTGGAGGACATCAAAATCAAAACATACTGATATGGCAACGAAATGAACTGAAATATAAACAGAACCTTAGTTTTAAAAATGTTACGATACTTCTTTAGTATTGCAGCTTCCATTTTTTTAAACATCAAGCTGGCATCAGAATTATTGCCAACTTCATGTCTCATGTACACTTTGTTACTGCCCTGCTTCCTCAATTGCTTTTAATATGGCATAAGAAGCATTCCAAGGTCTCAAATATTTTTGCTATATTAACTGATCAAAGTAAGATTCATGATGAGAGTAAAACGTGCCTCTTCAATTTTTATTCCACCACTTAGTGAAGCTCCACAGTCTTTCTATATTTTATATATGAGCAGCTGTTGTTAGATCAAGAAAATTAAATTTATTGTCCGCAGAAAAATATCTGTAAGCTGGTATTTACCAGTTCTTGTCTTTTATATTCTCACCAGAAGTTTGAATAAATTGTCACTCCCTCTTCTAGATGGTCGACAACTTTTGGCACGAGTGTGGATGGCTCTCTATTTAGAAACTGAGCGAGAAAGAATTTTTCAGTTTTTTTGGCATAACTTGTCATGCCAGTTTTGGTTTTTTGCTGTATGAACAGATTTTCTGCTATGTTCAAAATTTTTTCAGGGTCACCTCTATTCACATATATTTGGTTGGCGGATCATATGCAGAGAATACATCTCTCTCGTAAAAATGTTTCAGTGAATAGTCATATTTTTCTAGTGTTTCTTTCATTTTATGCTGTTACAAACAGTCTCCCCGAGAGTTGACTCAGGCGAATGCCTGGGAAGTACTGGTTAGGATCTGTACGTAGACAGTCTCAACTACGGGGGTATACCAACAGACTTCACAGAAGGCCTGAAGGCTCTCGGGACAGAGTAAGGCTCGGCAGGGACCGTACGGGTACTGCCTTGTCGCTACATGGTAGATTTTTCATGTGGCGGGATGGCACTTAATTCTGATCGGCGCCTACCGGATGCCTTAGGAAAGAAGTTGTCTTGTCCACTCCGCGCTGTATTCTGAAACCGCTAAACCAGCTGTTAAAACATATACTTTTCTTTCATTAGCGAATTTTCAAGCTGCACCTCTAAATGCTTTCACTGATGTTAAATTTTATTGAATGTCCATTTTTGCATATTCGAATGTGATGTAAAACATGTGCATTTCTTGAAAGATATAGCAAGCATCTTCCTCACTTCTCAGTAAATTAAGAATTTTAAGATTAAAATATAAATAAAATTTATTAACATATAGAATACTGAGAGCTCTTCTTGTGATGAGAGAATTCTGAGTGATTATGAATTATTAACATTTGCATGGGAAGAAATAAGATCACATGGTCTCCTCGAAGCTCTTCTCATTATAAGCAAACTGTAAATCATCATTGTTGGGGCTGCCAGATGTTTCAGAATAGTTTGCATTGGCGATTCATCAAAAATCTTGACAACTTTAAAAAACAGAACCCATAATAATAAGGAAGAAAGAACATCACATCCTTACGAAAACTTGGTTTAATTTATTTGATTATAGCACATAAAGGCTATCAACCTAAAACGATGGATGTCTTTGTGAAGGACTTTCTGGGAATAAATGGCTCGTAACTACACTAGAAAAGCATGGAATCCATCTTTGAAGTCATTTTTAAGCCTTAAATTGATATTAGCTTTCTATGAAAATACCTTGGCAGCTTCAAAAGGGCTCATTCATATTAAAATTTGAGTGTATTTCACAGGATAAAAATTTGTTATTTAAATTTAGTGGGGGTGTAATATATTTTTGACAACTATTCAGAACAAACTTATATACACATTAAAAATTCTGAACATGCAAAAACTTAAAAAAAAAAAAAAAAATCTTCCAGCAGATCTTTTGTTTAAATATATTACATGATAGTTTTTCCATCCAAAGATTATGTAAATAATTTATATTTAAACCAGATTCCTTTCAGATATACAATAAAATAATACAAGTTGTCACATTTTTTACAAAATTTTCGTAATTTTAAATTTAGATATTCATTTGAATAATATATAGACAAACAAATATTAATTTTTTTTCTAATACGATTATGAAATTAAAGCACAAAACACTAATTATTAGATCAAATGTATTGGAAATATTAACAGAATGAATTTAAAACTGAAATCTTATATGTTTCTCAGTGATTATAAAATAAACACAAGAGTATATTGGAAGCTATACATGTTAAAATGTTAATATTTGGTATGTACTTAGTTAGCATCTGTAGTATTTTCAGAAAAATTTTCTCTGCTTCTGAAATTCATATTGCAGAAGCGTGTTTCAATTTATGCGCAGAAATTTACTGAGCGCAAGGGGCGTATCTTTGATGTGACATCATCTGACACGTAGTTCGGATGTCACGTGACCTCCATGCGCGTTTGAGGATTTAGCGCTGACCCGAATTTAAGATGATTCAGCTCTAACAAATGTTTATAAACAAAACGCAAATTCGCCACTTTTGATTATAATTTGTAATCAAAATTTGGGAGGATGTTAATAATTCATTTTAATGTTTATTATTTTGCGTTTTAAATTTCCTGGTTCATGAGCAAGCCTCACTTAAATTTTACTAGTAAAGTTTAGTAATTAGAGCTTGGCAATAATAATAGATATTCCAGTTTTAAGACGCGGTAATTGTTGTTTGACGTGATAAGTTTTGCTTTCGTTGAAACTGATTTTATTATTTGAATAATTACCGCAGTTATAGTTTTTTTTAATGAAAGTGGCTGTTTTAAAAATATGATGTGACTCTTTAATTAAAGTTTACTTCATGCTGAAGTGTAATTCATACTGTTTAGTATTCAAAGCTTGAAAGCCGATTACTTTTTTTCCGTGTAAGCTTAAGAGTTGTTACTAAATTTCTAACGTATCATGTAACTTCTTTAAGCTATAAATCATTGGGTAGCTACTGTACAAAAATTTCAGGTAGTCGTAACATACCATATGTGACACAGTTTTACAAATTCCTGTTTAAACATGTTTATGTGATCGGGCAGGAAGTCTTATTTTTGTGAACTATAAGAAATAAATTTTCAATTAAACATTATTGTGAATGAAGGCATTCTTAAGGTGTCCTAATAGCAAGCACCAGATACGTCACATAAATAATTTGTGTTTATCCTTTTACGAAGAAAAATGCGTATTTACATCAGGCATGAAATGCTAGAATAAACCAACTTAAAACTACTTTTACCGAAATTTCTGTTTAGCAGCCAGTTTTACATTCCTTCAGAGGATGAAATTCACGAGATACGTAGCAAGTTATATTAAGAATGTAATACAGTTATCAATATAGTGCAAATTGCCTGTTTTAGGAGGAGCATGTTCTAGGTTCAGGGTTTGTAACAAAGTAACAAATCATGTTGAAGAGGTAATATTTAAAACAGCACGTGCATATCCATGCTGAACAAAAGCCTCGTATGTATGAAATTTGTATGATGTCATTTAGTCGAAAAACCACTTAAAAGATGCATATATTAATTCAAATTGGAAAGAAAGCTCTTATATGTGAGGTATGTAGACATTTAGTTAAAAGACTAATTCAGACAATCATCTGCTTATTCTCACAGGAGAAGAACCTCATGTATGTGAAGTATTTAAGAAATCATTAAGTCAAAAGTTCAGTTTAAACATGTATGTGCTTACTCACGCAGGAGAGAAACCTCATATATGTGAAATATGTAAGAAGACATTTTGCCAGAAGGGTAATTTAAACAGCCATATGCTTATTCACACAGGAGAGAAGCCTCATGTGTGTGAAGTATGTAAGAAATCCTTTAGTCACAAGTCTACTTTAAGAAGCCATATGCTTATTCACACAGGAGAGAAACCTCATGTGTGTGAAGTATGTAAGAAAGTCCTTTAGTCAGAAGTCTGCTTTAAACACCCATATGCTTATTCATACAGGAGAGAAACCTCATGTTTGTGAAGTATGTACGAAGTCATTTAGTCAGAAGTCTGCTTTAAACACCCATATGCTTATTCATACAGGAGAGAAAGCTCATGTTTGTGAAGTATGTAAGAAGTCATTTAGTCTGAAGGCTAATTTAAATGCTCATGCACGTATTCACACAGTTGAGAAACCTCATGCATGTAAAGTATGTAAGAAGTCGTTTAAACAGAAAGACCATTTAAACAAGCATATGCGTACTCACACAGGAGAGAAACCTCATGTGTGTGAAGTATGTAAGAAATCCTTTAGTCACAAGTCTACTTTAAGAAGCCATATGCTTATTCACACAGGAGAGAAACCTCATGTGTGTGAAGTATGTAAGAAATCCTTTAGTCACAAGTCTACTTTAAGAAGCCATATGCTTATTCACACAGGAGAGAAACCTCATGTGTGTGAAGTATGTAAGAAGCCATTTAGTCTGAAGAGTAAGTTGAACACTCATGCAGTTATTCACAGAGGAGAGAAACTTCATGTTTGTGAAGTATGTATGAAGTCATTTAGTCAGAAGTCTGCTTTAAATACCCATATGCTTATTCATACAGGAGAGAAATCTCATGTTTGTGAAGTATGTACGAAGTCATTTAGTCAGAAGTCTGCTTTAAACACCCATATGCTTATTCATACAGGAGATAAAGCTCATGTTTGTGAAGTATGTAAGAAGTCATTTAGTCTGAAGGCTAATTTAAATACCCATATGCTTATTCATACAGGAGAGAAACCTCATGTTTGTGAAGTATGTACGAAGTCATTTAGTCAGAAGTCTGCTTTAAACACCCATATGCTTATTCATACAGGAGAGAAAGCTCATGTTTGTGAAGTATGTAAGAAGTCATTTAGTCTGAAGGCTAATTTAAATGCTCATGCACATATTCACACAGTTGAGAAACCTCATGCATGTAAAGTATGTAAGAAGTCGTTTAAACGGAAAGACCATTTAAACACGCATATGCGTACTCACACAGGAGAGAAACCTCATGTGTGTGAAGTATGTAAGAAATCCTTTAGTCACAAGTCTACTTTAAGAAGCCATATGCTTATTCACACAGGAGAGAAACCTCATGTGTGTGAAGTATGTAAGAAGTCATTTAGTCAGAAGTCTGCTTTAAACACCCATATGCTTATTCATACAGGAGAGAAAGCTCATGTGTGTGAAGTATGTGAGAAATCTTTTAGTGAGAAGTCTAAATGTAGTAGACACATGCTTATTCACACAGGAGAGAAACCTCATGTGTGTGAAGTATGTAAGAAGTCATTTAAACAGAAAAATTATTTAAAGAAGCATATGCTTAGTCACACCAGAGAGAAACCTCGTGTGGGAAGTATGTAAGTCATTTAACCAAAAAAATTATTTAAACAAGCATTTGCTTAGTCACACCAGAGAGAAACCTCATGTGTGTGAAGTATGTAGAAAGTCCTTTAGTCAGAAGTCTCATATAAGCAGTCATATGCTTATTCACACAGGAGAGAAACCTCATGTGTGTGAAGTATGTAAGAAATTTAAACAAAAGGATATTTTAAA